AGCACAGGCTCCGGACGCGCAGGCTCAGCGGCCATGGCTCACGGGCCCAGCCGCTCTGCGGCATGTGGGATCCTCCCGGACCGGGGCACGAACCCGTGTCCCCTGCATTGGCAGGCGGACTCTCAATCACTGTGCCACCAGGGAAGCCCCATGCCCTTTTGTAGTAGTTTGAATCACTTTTATGGGGCGTTTCTTCTGGGCTTCCTTTGACCAGTCATCTTGCTTTGCCTTGTTCTGAGTCCATATTTGGTTTATCTCAGGGTCCTCCCCTGTGTGCGTGTGCACCTCTTAGCCAAGATGGATCCTAGTGAAGAATCTGTGGATAGGTTGACATCACTTACTATGAGGTGGCACCCCCCTCCCTTTTGACCTCCAAGGAGCGTTTCTGCACATGTGTAGTCAAGGAGGTCTCCTTGACTTTGAGAATGAGGAATATATGGTCTTTTATCTGGGCAGGGCCCAGCCTCCTGCATCATCCTGCTTTTATGGGGTTTCTCCCATTATGGAGTTTCTGTCCACAGGGGAGAAACTGTTCAGCCCGGGGCCCATCTATCTCCTGCCTCAAGTGAAGGGGAGTGATGGGGGGGATTTACATTTTAAGAAGCTGGCTGTAGCTGATGGGTGGGAATGGATTGTGCGGGGACACAGTGGAAGCAGGAGGCTAGAAGGCTGTTGCTGTGGTCTGTGTGGGATCATCATGGTCTAGAGTCATGATGGAGGTGGAGAGAAGTGGATGGATTCAAAATACTTTTAAAAGGTAGGGTAAAATCCAATATGCTGGTGGATATGATTTGGAAAAGGAAAGCGTGGCAGTGGAGATGACACCTAGATTTTTGTTTTGAACTCCTGATGAGTTATGTATCATTTACAAAAAAGAGGGCGGGGGAGATGTGCCACAGAAGGAGTTCAGTTTTGGATGCCTTTGAGTTGAGATTCCCATTAAACATCTAAGGGGGAGTATCAAATAAAGTTATAAGCTGGGACATCATCAGCTTTAGATGGAGTAGGAATTCAGGGGTCTGAAAGAGGGAGAGAAGGGTCCCCAGACTGATCTGAGGAGAAAGAGGAGCCAGCAAAGGAGACAGGGAGGGTCTGTGAAGGAGGAAGAGGTGTTGGCAGAAAGAGGGAGGCATCAGCTGTGCAGGCGGGGGTGTACCAAGACATGGGGATGAGAGTGACCCCTGGCCCTGGGAACATGGAGGTCATAGGCGACCTTTTCGATTTCAGTGGACTGGTGGGGGGCAGACGCACAGGTAGAGTGGGTCAAGACCAGCCAACCTGTTGACACATCAGCTACACTCAGCTTTCAAGAACTGTTACTGTGGGGGCTTCCCTGGTGGCGCAGTAGTTGAGAATCTGCCTGCTAATGCAGGGGACACAGGTTCGAGCCCTGGTCTGGGAGGATCCCACATGCCGCGGAGCAACTAGGCC